CCACGACGCTGCCGGAGACCCCGAATACTATTCGCGTCAAGGAAGTGACCAAGCATGTCAGCGACGTGAGTGACAGCCCCAGGGCACTGGGCAGCAGCTGGGCCCCTTGACCTTACATCCAGCCAGACCGAAAGCTGCCGTTTTGCTTACAAACGCCTTCCTTTATGTCATTTTGTTCTTACCATCAACACCTGTCTGTGATCACAATTTTGAACTCTGGTTAAAAGGGCAACTTATTATTCATCCAATTATGGCAACTATGGCAGATGTGGGTTTTGCCAAGGGTCATGTTATCTAGCAATATAAGCTGTTGTTAACCTAGTGCTGATAAGGGGAGAAAAGATCGCTAATGGAGATTGGCCTTTCCTACCATTAAACTGCTAAACAATTTTAGAGAAGCAAACCACCTCTGTATCTTGGTAATCTCTGCCTTCTATGGCCTAATCAATAATACATTAATAATCATGATATCCCAGTTTATGTGCCCTCTATAGTTCCATCTGTTTTAAAGAGGTAGAAATGATGCATGTCAGAGCTTAAGTTCCCTGTGGTCATTTCTCCAAAGATTGGTGTGTGGTTCCAGTGTTGGGCTATGGGACAGAGATGACAGGGAAGAGCTAGAATGTGGACCAAGAGACCCGGGTTCCAGACAGGTCCAAAACGGGGAGCCAGGGGTTTCCCTGGAGATCATCTCAAAGTTCTTCAAGTAAATCAATCCTGTTCCCAGCTTCCCCCGTTCACATATGTAATTCCGGCTCTTTTCAGACAAATTACAAAAAGAAGTTTGTCAAGGAGAAAGGGAAATCCAACTACTCCATCATGATGGAGCCCCCAGACGTGAAACATGCCATGGAAGTGGCCAAGAAGCAGAGTGACGTAAGTTTCTTCTCTCGACACTCTTTTGGGGCCCACTGAGACCATGGATTTCAAATTGGTGCATGCTGGTTCCTGTCACCCTAACTTCTGTGTATTCTAGTTTAATAAACATGGTGGTGGGATTAGTTTGGTTTTAATAAAAAGGTCCCTTGTACTTAATGAGGATTTTGGAAGGATAGCATGTCTCTCAAAGGAGTGAACTTTTTCTCCCCCAAATATAAAGGTTGCTTACAGAAAAGATGCCAAAGAAAACCTGCATTACACCACAGTGGCTGATCGGCCCGACATCAAGAAGGCCACGCAGGCAGCCAAGCAGGCCAGCGAGGTAAAGATGTGGTTAACATGTACCTGATCCCCAAGGGCCACACCACCGAGGATGTATTGCCCATTTTGGTTTCCTTCGATGCAGGTGGAGTACAGAGCCAAGCACCGGAAGGAGGGCAGCCATGGGTTAAGCATGCTTGGTCGCCCAGACATTGAAATGGCCAAGAAGGCAGCCAAGCTGAGCAGCCAGGTAACACAGATGGGCAAGAGGCGGCTCTAACATGAAAAGATTAGCTTTGAAACGTACCAGAACATGTGTGTTAAGGACCATCTTTCTTGTTTACGGCTAACATCTCCAGGCCTTTCTTTTTCTCCACTTTTCCGTTTATGGGTATGTGTCTAGGGGTGTTTGAGTGCTTAGCTATTTTCATGTGATAAGAACATCAGCTCCAGAGTTCCTCTTGGAACTTGTCTCTAGACATGGGAGGTTACATCCCAAGGGCTTAATTCATACTTAACTCACCTGTGAGGCCTTGTTAACATGCAAGTGTCTAGAATCCAACCAGATGCAGTAACCTTTATTCTTTCATTCAACGTACATATATGAAGTGCCTGCGCTAGGACCTAGGGAAGATGTCCTCAGACTATAGATCCGTGGATAAGTAAGTACCATAGGGGTGACAAATGTTTGATCAAGGTATGCACAGGGTGCTGAGTGGGAATGCTTCATTTTAGCAGATTTGATGTTATTGAGCAGATGGGCTCAGAAATGTGTTGCTCAAACCTAATTGCCACATTACCTAATTTCCCTTGTTAGACCAATTATCTATGATACTCCTGAGTTAGGACAGGTGTTCAGACGTTAGCTCAGAGACTCCATGACCCACCATCAGCTCTTTCAGAGAGCAAGTCTTAGTCCTAGAGAACTTGAGCTCAACAATATCTTATTTCTCCTCCAATTTAGAGGTCCTACCTTGTTCATTGTCTGTTCTCTCAAGTATTTGTTTAAAGAAACAGGTTTGGGATACATTTGGTTGTTTTATGTATGACTTTCGGCAATAGCACACATGGGATTCCAATCTTTTGGAAGGTATAAAGTAGTAATATCAAGGGACAAAAGAAGCCATCATGATGATGAAGAGACAAGGTTCAGATGCCTAATGACAAGCAAATATGACTTTTTAAGTTTTTTAATGTAATACTCCTATGCGATGTTTTATTATAAATTAATGGAATTGTGTAAGCATTTGAGACCAAAATATGAAATCGGCAACAAAAAACAGTGTAATCTCTAAGAGTAATGAAATGTAACAAGAACTTTCTAATGCAAAAATGTTTAATATGTTTTTAAATTCCCAAGGTAATACCATTATCAAGTTAAAAACAAAGAAATGACTTTGCATGTTGACATTTTGAAGACTTTGCTGTATTTAAACATCAAGAGGCTCATATTCCTAATTCTAAGTGAATGCTATCATATGGAGAATGAGACCCAACCAGATCCTTTTATGAGTTCACCTTCCTGCGTTTACTTTCTGTGAAAGGCTTGCCTCTGCATTTACAGCTTCCTGGTGTGACCTCCTGGCCCAATAGGTTTTCCCCTATAGGTGGGCCCTCCCCGTTCTGACTTTGCTGTCTTGCTGGCACTCTAGGCAGACTACCTCAAAGGCCAAAGGAGAGGACACGGGCACGGCGCCGCATCTTATGACACCCCTATGATGAGGCATCTTAAGAAAGTTAATGCACTCATGAGTGATGTAAGACTGGCACCGGCAAGCCGAGATCTCTGTCTTCCTCTTTTTCTTGTCGACTTTCCTAGCCTTGGTCAGGGGACTGACTGACCAAGTTGCACTCTTCCCTGTTGATTTTGTGTCGGCATGTGTAGAATGCTATGGAAATTTGTTAAAGAATATACTTTTGCACATATCCATCTTTTCATGCATGAAGCTTGCCCTCTGGAACATGCCACTTGGAGTAGGAAGATAGACTAGACTCAGACATGGCCTCCCAAGTATATTTTGAGTTGCTGACAAAGATCAAATGAAATGATGAAATGAAAACAAATGAAGAATCTCATCTTCCACCACACAAAGAAAACCTCTGCTGATGGCCATTGTTGATGTTTAATACTTTTGAGACTGGCACTTAATACAGTCTCTCTGTTCGGGCATACTATGAACTCATAGTTCTTTCACCCTCTGTTTTACAGTCTTAATAGCGAGAAGTTTTCTAATTCTTGGGCCTGTTCTTCAGTCTTTACAAGACCAATTCCCTGATAAGGAGCTGAACAGTTGGATCTCAGACCTTTAATTAAATTAAATTTTGAAAGGATAATTGATTTGAAAATATTTCCTATACCACATCCATATAAGCCAATAGCTGAGCCTGATGGGATTATACATGCTGGTGTTGCACTTGACAATACCATTGCATGGTTGCCTCTCAGGTTCCATGATTAACAAGAAAAAGAAGTCTTTACCATTCCGTAGTGGACATGTATGTAGTTTTACTGTCCTCACTGCCTAGTCCAATGCCAGGAATTTACTATATTTACTGCATAGTCCCAGAATTCCTGGAGTCCTGAATCTGATGTGTGTCCATATCTTTTAAAATGTAGTAAGCAATTCTTAAGAAGATCCAGTTAAAAAGGAAGTTCGTTTTGTGCTGAACTCAGATTCATAATAGTTGTTTTCTAGGTTACATTTGCTTGGGGGTCTTTCTGTGGGAAAGGGGGGCATAGATTTTTTTCATTAAACAGTTGAAAATTTAAGTTTACTTGAAATTAACAGAAGAAAAAGATACTGAAGCAAGACCAATGGATTTGCTGCTCGTTAAGGAAATATTTCTTCAGAAACAAGTTATTTCCTAAAAGACAGAAAGAGGAATCTAACATACTTCTAAAAGAAGCAGATTTTATTTTTATCTGAGAGTCTGGGCCTTTGCAATTCTTCTTCCTCGGTCTGACTCTGGACATCTGGTTTACTTGCCTTTCTGTGTTTCCCAGCTCTTGGGATCAACCCTGCCTTACGGGTTTCTATATCCCTTACAAGAAGCTTCCTTTGGGTCCAGGCACCAGCTCATGACCTCTGACTTTCTTTAGCAGGCCTCTCATTTCTTTATTTTGAGAATGAATTTTTTTCAGAGAGGAACCAGTTATTTACATTTCCTTTTCCTTTTATGTTGTGTTTCTCCTCTTCCTTAATGTATCTGTCTCCATGTGCCTGCATCACGTGGTACTGTTCTGCATGCTTATTGTTCCCTATGCATTTCCACCGAAGGTTTATTCAAAAGAAGTGAATGCCAGCTTTGTGGATGCATTTCCTCTGAGGTGGCAGATGTCCTTGTTCTTAGCATTTGAGTGGTCTCATTTGTGTTTGTTCTGCTGAATATGTAAAGTGGTGGGGAAGTTAAGTAACATGATGAAGCATGAAGGGTGCTGCTTTTAAATGCCTACAGAGTAAAATGTCGGGGTGAGTGGGTCCTAAATGAATGAGAGAATCTTTCACCTTACCAATAACAGAAATTCTAGATTTCCCAGAGAGTCAAATAATGCCCTTTTAGCTGACTAGCATCCAGAGAGAGCTCATTTTTCATTCTTCTTAGAGTGAACAACTAGGGGACTTAATTCTACAATACTCTTGACAAAGGCATTAATTAGTCTGTCTTTCAGTAAGGACATGATCTTGTTTCAATTTATGCTGTTGAATTTTCTTATAAATGAAACATCTTCTTTAGCTATTTTACCTAGGCATGATGATTGTTTCTTCCTTTCATTCCATAAAATACATTTATTGAGCAACTATTAGTGCCAGGCATTATGCTTATTTTTTAAAATTGAAGTACTTTAGTTTTTTGCATTGTCTTAGTGTTATGAACCTAAAAGTATATTTAATCCTATTTTCTCATTATTCTAAAGTAGCTCACTTTTTTCTTCTAGTCTGAAATGATGTAGAAACCATTAATTCCTAAACTTTGTCCTCTTTACTCAAAAGCTATGCCCTTTTTTTGCCAAGTTTAAAAAGTTAAGATGATGTAGCCCAAGTACTATTTTAAAATAACAATAAATTCTCCTAACTTAACAGGTGCCTGACATCTCATACTTCTGATCATTGACAATCCCTCTCGGAACTCCTTGAAACAGATCTAAAATGCTTTCAGCTTATCTAGTTAGGAGGGCCAAGTTGCTCCAAATCAAATACATCAGCTCACTTCTCTGAATTTAGCCTAATGCATTTTCCTTTTATTTTTGTCTTGCATTAAAAAGAGGTGATCATCTTTCATCACTCTGGCTAATCTGAAAATGATTACCCAGAGTGATGAAAGATGGCAAATACAATTTCACTGGATCTTATTCTTGATTGACTGTTGTCCCAACCTAATTACCATAATGCTCCTTTCACTATTAAAAGAGTCCTAGTTTGGATAATAAATTATTTGATCACTTTATGTATAACATATTTTTTTTCATTTATATTTTTTCCAATTCACAGTCCTCAATTTAATTTATGTTCAGGAATAATTTGGATTTTTGCATTTGCTGTTAGATTAAATACCGAGAAAATTTCGACAAAGAGAAGGGCAAGACACCAAAATACAATCCAAAAGACAGCCAGCTCTACAAAGTCATGAAAGATGCTAACAATCTCGCAAGTGAGGTATGTTTTTTAAATTGTGGTAAAATATATAACATGAAATTTGTCATTCAACTATTTTTCCAGACATTAGTTACACTCACAATTTTGTCCAGCTACCACCATGATTTCCAAAACTTTTTTATCACCTCCAAATAGAAACTCTATATTAAGCAAAAAACTCTCCATTCCCCTCCCTGGTAATCCTTAAGCTACTTTGCATTCCAATGAATTTGCCTATTAGAGATTTCATATAAGTGGAATCATATAATATTTGTCTCTTTTGTCTGGCTGATTTCACCCACATAATGTTTTCAAGGTTCATCCATGTTGTAATGTGTACCCAGAATTTCATTCCTTTTTATGGCTAAATAATATTCCACTATATGTATAAACATTCTGTTTATTCATTCACCTATTGATGAATTATGTGTTTCCACTTTTTGGCTACATGACCAAGACATGGTTTTTCATCACCATCTCCAGCATTTGTTTCTGGATGAGTCTTACTATGGTTTCCACTCGTACTGTTTACTATCCTCTATTTACATAATATCTTTTCTCTCTTAACATACAGGTTAAATATAAGGCTGACCTCAAGAAACTTCACAAACCTGTGACTGACATGAAGGAATCTCTGATAATGAATCATGTCCTGAATACAAGCCAACTCGCCAGTTCTGTAAGCTCAGTCATTTGCTCCAGAATCAGCTTGTTTCAGCCAATCGCAGCTAAATTCCTCTTCTGAGCTCACATGCCTCTAACTTCTCTGCCACTGACAAACTAGATTGATTGAAAACCTCCTCTCTTGTTTGAGTGCCTTCTTCTAAATTACAGCCAAAACCTACCACCTCTCCACTGACCATAACACCTCCCAGAATATAAGAAAATGCTTTTATTTTTTAGACTATTTCAACTTTTGTTCAATTAACCAATCTCTTCCCTCCTTTAAAGGACCTCTTTCACTTTTCACTCTTAAGCCCACTTCAAATATGCCGTATGCCCTAAGTGTGTACAACCTGTATTACCTGCCAAAGCTGACGGTGGACTCCAGCCTTTAAAGCTGTTTCTTACCCCGCTAGTTAGCATGTGCTCATTGTAATGTGGCCTTGCTCCTGCTGCTGTGTACATGTCTAGTCCAAAGAGGAAGCATCTGAAGGCCACGCAGCTGTAACATCCACATACCCTTTTGCCACCTTCCCCTCAGTACCAGTACAAGAAGAAGTACGAGAAGAGTAAAGGCCACTACCACACCATCCCCGACAACCTGGAGCAGCTGCACCTAAAGGAGGCCACGGAACTGCAGAGCATTGTAAGTTGACCAAGACTGACCTTTTCCCTGACGCTCACTCTACAGTGTCAGAAGCTTGCGTGGATTCCCCCCACGGGGAATAGTAGTGACAGTTCCGGTAACCGCAGCTTGAGAAAATGTCCATAGATACAGGGGCATTTTGTAACATTTTGAAACAACTGTTTATGTCATCAGTGATAACAGCATCAACATATATTGGAGAAACAGTACAATGTGTGTGAGTCAGGTTACTGACTGGGACTGGAAGCATAAGATCATGTTACAAAGGGGAACAAAGCCCTTACAATGACCCCAATGTGCCCCCATGAGCCTGCCCTGCAAGTTAAGAAACAATGGATAATAGGAAGACTTGGGAAGATTTTAAGCAGATAAGGGATATGACCAGACCTACCAATGAAGTAGTCTCTGGGTATATTAGGAATTGTAATATTTGCAAATAATGAAGGAAAGAATTGAGAGAAGGAGCTTGCTGTCACATGTCCTCCTATATTACAAATTCAGCATTATTAAGGTCCCGGTTGGGCATTAACCACAAGGGCTAAATTACTAGAAATACCCCCATGTCATCCACAAAGTAGCATTTGCCCCCAGGCCTCAATGATGTGTTGTTTTAATAAAAAGAGCTGACAGTGAGCATTGCCACTAAGACACTGCGTGAACAAGGGCCTCTGACTTTCATCCCATGAGGGTAAAGGGACTGTGTTTGTAAAATAGTGTTGGGGGTTTTTAGAGAATGTCAGGTTTATTAGTAAGTCAGTCAACATGTAAACTAGTTTTTATTTTTATACCAACTTATGTTGGTTGCATTACATATGTGACTGGTTATGACCTAGAAAGAGTTATTAACCTGTGAAGTTGCATGCATTACCCATCAAATCAAGACCCCAGTTGTCTGACAACAATTCTTATGAAAGAAAAACTGGAGATTTTTGAAAATCAGAAGTATTGACTAATGCCAGGGTGAAAATGTTCACATCTACACATATCAGATCTTGGCCAGCCTTATCTAAGGGTGATCTTCCCTTACTGGGTGATGCGTTTTCTTGCCTCAGTGTTTCACGCTGCTGATCCTTCTGCAGTGATTCTTTTGTCTCCATGAGTTGAACACACATCCTGATTATGCCTTGCAGACAGAAATGGTGTTTTTCCCCATTGGCAACAAAAAAGTTCTGGATCTGTCTTGAGTGGCAGAGATGCCACCCAATTGGACATAATGTGTCAATTGAAAAATACTATTCTTAAACTGGATCTGTCTACAAATCGACCCGAGGAGGGATAGCTCATAAGGCTTTTCATCACCAGGTGAAATACAAAGAAAAGTATGAAAAGGAACGAGGAAAGCCCATGTTGGACTTTGAAACACCAACGTACCTCACCGCCAAAGAATCTCAGCAGATGCAGAGCGGGGTAAGTCCTACACAAACACACCACTCAGCGAACACACCCTCAACCTGATGAAAACATGCTCTGCTCACAAACGTATCCAGCTTTCAATTATCCCACAGTAGTAGATGATGGGCTGCTTTACCATATGATCTCTAAAGTCCTATGGTTCAGTTATCAAAATTTACCACATATGTCTTATTTTAGCTATCATTTTCATAGAAATAGAACACAGTAAACTATTGCTAATACTGAAATTATATTGAATATTATAATTTTTTTTCATGAGTAAAACATTCCCTCTGCATAGACTTACCATCAGCTTTGGATTGCTCCTCTCTCTCTCGCTCTCTTTCCTTTTTTCTTAATTAATTTACTTTTTATATGTTTTTACTTATTTTAAAGAGGAAGGGAGAGAGTGAGAGAGATAGAAAATCAATGATGAGAGAGAATCATTGATTGGCTGCCTCCTGCATGCCCCCTACTGGGGATCAAACCTGCAATTGGGCATCTACCCTTGACCAGAATCCAACCCAGGACCCTTCAGTCCACAGGCCAACACTCTACCCACTGAGCAACTGGCTAGGGTTGGACTGTTCTTCTCTAGATACGTAGCCCCAAGCCAACAAAAGAAGATTAGTGATCAAGGTGTTTATCAAAACATCAAAAGTCAAGGTGCCATAATTCCTATTTTAGAAATGTTAGCAGAGGCATCTAAAAATAATTTTGTCCACATAATCTATTTAGTGATTAAAAATAATAGATCATGATTATGAAAAAGGTCAAGTTTGTATCTGGTGACCTCAGGCTCTCCTTCCTCTGGGTTGTTTTATTTTTTTCCCTTGAGTTGCTTATCTCTAATTCAGAAGTAAAATCTTTTGTTGCCTTAAGAAAAATGTCATCAGGAGAGATGACAGTGGATTCCTGGGTCCTTCCCTCTGCTCTCATGGAGGGCCAGCCCCAGTCACATTTCCTTGAGGCCATTTGCTCTAGACAAAGTATTTCCAGAAAAATCAGACATGTTTTAAGTATGTGGCCATCAGCAGAACTATGACCAAGTTAAGAGGCCAACATAGAAAGAAAATGTAATACCTTCTTAAGATTGAGACATCCTATATAGTAATCCTATATAATAAAAGTGTAATATGCAAATAGACCAAAGAGTGGAATGACAGGTTGGGGGGGCAGGGCTAGTGAGTAAGCGGCACCAGGCCAGCCAAGGCGCATGCCAGCGGGCAGAGGGAGGGGACAGCGGTGGGGGTAGGAGGAGGGCAGCAGTGACCAGTGGCCGCGGAAGGGCAATTGGGGGTGGGGGTGGCAGGGCTGGCCACTCGCTGGTTAGCACCATCCTCTGATTGTCCCGCCTGGTTACCTCCCACAGAGGGAGGCCAGACTGCAGCTTAGACCTGCTCCCCATGGGTAGTGGGCCTAAGCCATCAGTTGGACATCCCCTGAGGGCTCCCAGACTGCAAGAGGGTGCAGGCCGGGCTGAGGGACTCCCCCTCTGCGTACACAAATTTTCATGCACCGGGCCTCTAGTAAATAATAATAATGTGTCTTTTTCTTAACTTGTTCTTTCTTCCTACTCACATTAGAAAGAATACAGGAAAGAATATGATGAGTCCATCAAAGGCAGAAACCTGACTGGCCTGGAGGTCACGCCAGCTTCATTACATGCCAAATATGCAACCAAAATAATCAGCGAGGTAGTGCCCAGTTGGTCTTTTCTTTCCCTCTTGATCCAAATAACTGCACTAATGCCACTTTCACCACCTTCGGTCATTTTAACCACCACCTAACTTTGTGGGTTTCGAGTTGGGTTCACATTTGGTCACCTAACCTATGACCCATGTTCATTCTTCTGATATTTTAATTGAGTATCGAATAAAATGTGCTTACCTTACCATCCTATTAATTTCTAGTTTTTATTGAATATTTCATATTAACTGATGAAGCTTATACCCTGCTTTTATTGATATCTTTATTTACTAAATTGCAACTGTTTAAAATTGAAAGGGCTTTTTATCTTTGGGGATTTTGACCCTTTACCTGAGAAGAGCAATCCAGGCTTTCTGATCATCGTTGCTGCTTTTATTTTGTGATACAGAAAGAGTACAGGAGAGATCTAGAAGAAAGCATCCGTGGGAAGGGTCTCCATGAAATGGAAGATACTCCCGACATGATAAGAGCAAAGAACGCCACTCAAATCCTCAATGAGGTGGGTCCCCAGCCAACTGCATGCACATAATTCACAGCCAAGATACACACACACACAAATCCAAAGAGATGAAAAGAGTTTTTGGATTTCAAATTCCATATCCAACATGATTACTACCATTAAATAAAATATATCTTAATTTCTAATGAGTTGATATCATAGCAATCTGTGTCTGCAGTGGCTATTACTATTCTAACCTATTATTTATCTAATATTATTAATCTTGATCCATTTGGTGTGCTCATTTAAATAAAAACACCAAATGGGAGTGGTGTGCTCTAAGTTTAATCCTAGTTGTTACCAAACTAGATTTAAAATTTGCTTTATAATTAATTTTCTAAATAAAAGAAATGTTCAAAAAGAGGCCTTAAAATGGATTTTGGTGGTCACCACTGCATCCTACCATAAGGAAAGATGAACATAGCAACTAAGGTCGCATGTTATGTGGATTTATAGTCACTCTGTACATTTTTTATTTAATCATGGAAGTAAGGAAACTTTTTTAAAATGTTTCTATAGAAAGAATATAAGAGAGACCTGGAGCTGGGAGTAAAAGGAAAAGGCCTGAACGCCATGGCCAATGAAACGCCTGACTTCATGAGGGCCAAGAACGCCACTGATATTGCCAGTCAGGTCAGTGTCCGTTTCATGTCAATCTTCCAAAAACAGTGACTGTGATTATAAAGACACAGATTGTCCTTCTATTATCTAACTTGCTGGTCAATGATCGTCGAATGCATATAGTATCATTCTTAAACATCTGCCTAGTAAATCCGTCTAATAAAAGAATCAGGGACCCTTTGCTAGGCCTGCTTCCATCTGCCTTTCTGAGTCTGCAGCCACAGGAGACATTCAGAGCGAAGGATGGAAATTGGGGAACCAAATAGTTGCTTGGAAATGGTGTAGATTCTCTGACAACTGGCCTTGTTTCTTAGTCATTACACTCCTCTTTTGGCACCAAGAATTCCTTGCTTAGACTATTTTGGGAGTCCTTTCTTTCCCTCCTTTCAAGGCCTAAATTTAAAACATAGATTTAGGCATCCCACACTGTCTCACAGTAATTGGTTTGGGTCTTTTGCTTTCTTGTGTATATAAACAATCCATGCCCTACTCTCTGCTGATGATCTCCCTCATTTCCCATTACTCCTCTCCTCCCCCTTTTCCTTCCCTACTTCTGTTCCCCATGCCCAACTAGATAGTCTCTCAACAGCTAGAACTCATTCTTTCTGAATTTCACTCTTTAGTATAAAGCTATAAACATAATAAGGAAAATGTCTGTTGATTGTCAAATAAATTAATTTGGTGGGGAAAGAAATATTGATCACCTCTTAATCACATTAAACCAACAAGTGTTGTGCACATTGTAAACATTTACTCAATTGTTGGGTATTCTTTTGCAGATTAAGTACAAGCATTCAGCAGAAATGGAAAAAGCCAATTTCACTTCTGTGGTTGATACACCTGAGATCATTCATGCCCAACAAGTCAAAAACCTTTCAAGCCAGGTAAGGACATTCCTCAGGATATCACTCATTGACCCCAATCATGAAGTACAAAATCTTTGCATTTATTTGTAAGGCGGTCCTTTCAAATCACAATCTTGCCCAATAAAAGAGATGGGAGTTATCTATGATGCAAGTTTAGATCAAAGTTTAGATTTTTGCATCTAATTAAATGAGAGAATCTTAAGTTACTGAAGGACTCTTAGAAGAACTGAAGAAACAAAGTTAACAGTCCACATTTGGATTATCCATTTCTTTAATGAGATTAAGATTATGTCATCAATGTTAGCCCTGATTCCTCCCATGGTGGATAACTCTCCATCGTCCTACAAATAGAGAGATGAAGAAGTGTGGGATGTCCTCCATACACCAGACATACCCTCATTTGTTTTAATCTTCCATGATATTGGGAGTCTGCCAATTATTTGAGTAGCCCAGATTAGAATGTTTGCTGTCTTCTGATCAGTGAGTTCTAAAGCAATAATTACCTGACCTGGCTATGCTTTATAAACACCTGGGAAGGTAGATTTTCCCGGTTCCAACTGGAATTTTGAAGCTAGTAAGTCTGATGTAGACCCTGGAAATCTGTTTGGTATATTTATTTGTTTGTTTTTAATCTTCATAGATGATCAACTTAATGACAATCAAGTTGGAAGAATCATGAATTTAAACATTTTTTAGCAACATATAATTTTATATCATAAAGTTAGATATGAAAAATATAGTTATTTCCAGAGAGTGGGTTAATTAGGAAGCAGGTCTATTCGAACGGGAGAACTGAACCTTTTATTTTAGAGGTGGGAGTGGGAAAGAATTTGATTAGCAAAATTATATGGGTCTCAAACCACCATGTTGTGTTCGTTGCGGGAGCCAGGGAGGTCAACATTCTTAGGGCTGTGAGAGGCTTACCAGCCAATAACCTCTGCCTTTTGACTTTGTTAACCCTCAAAGACGACCTCAGCATGTGCACAATTTCCAGGGAGGGGTTCATTCACTTACTCTGCTCTTGTGTGCTTTCCTAGGCCTCTCCTGGGCTAGTTCCCCAAAGCCTAAAAGTATGACCAGCAGGTCACTTTCTTCCCGGCTCAGATCAGAATTTGCCCCTGCGTGATGGACTGGTGCTTTCCTCAAAACTGCTTCTGGTTCCCACTGGGGAGGACATAGTTCATAACTTATAAACTTCACATTGGGGGGTAGTGGGGAGGAGTGTTCATGCAAGTGTTGTAAGCTGACCCACAAATTCTGGGACTCCCTCCTCTCAGAATGCCCCTGAATTCCCAGTGCAAACTGACCGCTCCTTTTAGGGACTAGCAGGAACTCTGCAAAAAAAACAGGTAAAACAGCTTTTGCTGAAGAAAAGGAGGTCTGGTTCTTCCCTTTGCCCAGGACAGTGAGAACCCTTTGCCTTACATTGCATAACTAAGAAGGGTCATTCCAGTGATTTTCTCCTGAGGGAAAACATCTGGTCCTGGTGACCTGGCCTTTCCTTTCAGAAATGTCTGTTCTAACTGGCTTCCTGTTAGATCAGTGGTTCTCAACCTTCTGGCCCTTTAGATACAGTTCCCCATGTTGTGACCCAACCATAAAATTATTTTTGTTGCTACTTCATAACTGTAATGTTGCTACTGTTATGAATTGTAATGTAAATATCTGATATGCAGGATGGTCTAATTCCACCACTTAAAAAACAAAAATCTCATATTAAATTTTTCAACACTTACAAATGTAATTTGTATGCAGGGTGGGCCAAAAGTAGGTTTATAGTTGTTTATATGGAAAATAATACAATAATTAATAAATAATAATACAAGAATAAATTGTTTCATGTACTCACAACAGTAAAGCTACATTTGCCTCGCCCTGTATAATACAATTTAAATAAAGATATACAGAAAGATGAGTTTTACCCCCTTACAAAAGTAGCCAGTTTCTTTCCTCAGCCCTGCACACCCATACTTCTCAAAAAAGTGTCAGAAAGTAGAGATAAATAAGCTAGAGAGGAAAGTGGAAGGACTTGGTGACAAGCGATAAAGGAAAAGCCAGACTCTAAGGCAGAGTAAGTGTTCTGTGTTTTTGAGCTGGAGTTGGTTAGCTGAGTGGGGGGTGGCTGCCTGGATGTCTGGGGCAGACCAGCCCCTGTGGGCAGTCTCTCCCACCAGCGGGGCGGGGTGGGGTGGAGAACCCAAGGAAAGAGAAGGCTGGCTCAGCACAGTCTTTGGCCAGTGAAAATGTCCTTCTCGCCAACTAAGGCCGGCTTTTAAGAGGCCTTGATGATGGCTCTTAATCCCCTGCTTTTCTCCACCTGCTGTTGAACAGCCCGCTCCATCCAGTTCACTGTAGGCATCCCCGTCTCCCTGCCAGGAGCCGTGCACACGATCACCTCCCTCCTATGGGCCAGCCAACAAGCGCCTTTCTCTGCCAGCTCTGCCTGTCAGTGGGTCCTACTTAATACCTGGGCTCGGTCCCCCAGGGGAGAAAAGGCCTGAGCTACTCACGGAGCCGAGTTCTGCTCTGTAACTCCTAACCTCCTTGAACAGTCAGGGAAGGACTTCCCATCTGCTGAGCTATTTTAGGTCTCACTGGACCATCTCCCTGTGGTGTTCACCGTCCTAATTTTTTAAATCTATTCCCAGAAAAAGTACAAGGAAGATGCAGAAAAGAGCATGTCCTCCTATGAAACAGTGTTAGACACCCCGGAGATGCAGAGAGTGCGGGAGAACCAAAAGAACTTCAGCCTTGTAAGTTTTTCCTGGATCTACAGCACAGCCCATGGGTCAAGGCAGGGCAAGGAGGCTGCCCCTGGGCACACACAGGCGGGCATCACCCTGTAGTCGGGCGTGGAGCAGTCCCACAACTCCCACTCACCTCATGCTTCGAGCCCAATCAAAGCACGACAGACCCATCTGTCACTTTGTTGGTGATTTCCTGTCACTGAATATGAACTATGATCCTTTTTTTAGTGGCAAAATCTGTGTTTTTTCACAGTTAATTCCAGGTAAGATATACATTAAAAAAAAAAAACCCTAATTTGACATGTTAAAAGTTTTAAGGTTTTTAAAAATTAGTCTCTCCATAAATTTTTATTAAAGAATTTCCATTTGGCTATCAGACGGTGATTATTGTGGCATAGACATTTTTTTAAACACAAGATTTTAACTTCCTTCACACAATATAGGACAATTAAAGATATATAAAATAATGCTGAAATCTTAACAATATGTTTACTCTTTCGTCATAGCTCCAATACCAGTGTGACCTTAAAAACAGCAAAGGAAAAATTACAGTTGTTCAAGACACCCCAGAAATACTGCGTGTGAAAGAAAATCAAAAGAATTTCAGCTCGGTATATTTACTCTTTATTTTCTATTCAACGCTAATCTAATAATTCCATACTCTTTAAAAATATACTAGCCTGACAATTAACCTCCCCCAGTTAATACCAGCAGTTACTTGTTAACATTCTCCATACTTTGCTGTAAAACCATCATTCCACAGACCATTTGCATAACAATTTAAATCTGCTAACAAAGTACACCTTTCTTTCTGTAAATTTTTTAAAATATATTTTTATTTATTTCAGAGAGGAAGGGGGAGAGGGAGAAAGATAGAAACATGAATTATGAGAGAGAATCATTGATTGGCTGCCTTCTACACACCCCACACTGGGAACTGAGCCGCAACTCAGAATCAAACCTGGGACCCTTCAGGCTTCAGGCTGATGTTCTATCCACTGAGCCAAACCAGCTAGGGCTCTTTAAATTTTTTAAATCCCACAGCAGTAACCTCTGTTGTCTTGCTCCAGGAGGATGGAGTTCTTTTGGACATTGTGATTTCTTTTTTTTTTTTATTCTTTATTGATTAAGGTATGACATATGTGTCCTTGTCCCCTATAACCCTCCCATCCCCCAGCTCATGCCCTCAGCCCCCTAAGAGTCTGTGTCCTTTGGTTAGGCCTATATGCATGCATATAAGTCCTTTGGTTGGTCTCCACCCCTTACCCTCACCCTCCCCTACCTTCCCTCTGAGGTTTGACGGTCTGATCGATGCTTCTCTGTCTCTGGATCTGTTTTTGTTCAGCAGTTTATGTTGTTCATTATATTCCACAAATGAGTGAGATCATGTGATATTTATCTTTCTATGGCTGGCTTATTTCGCTTAGCATAGTGCTCTCCAGGTCCATCCATGCTCTTGTGAATGGTAGGAGTTCCTTCCTTTTTACAGCAGCTCAGTATTCCATTGGTGATTTCTTTTCTTATCTCTCCCCCAAATAACCAACCAACTTCACATTTCTTTCATGGATTTTGTATTTCATATAAGCTCGAGATTTCTTTTTATCAATATTTTCTGGTTTTTCTCATTCCGTATTAATACGGTATGATAATCTTAAAAGAAATCTCAAAATCTGGAAAGTGACCCATTGTTGCCTGTGGGAGTTACTGATGCCGACGTGGAAGACGTCAGGTACTCGGGCACTGGCCGAAGGACTTTCTCTAGTGTCTTTTGATTTCACGGAAACCAAGTTTCCTAGACTCTCTCCTGCCGGGTTTCCCTCTCTTCTGTGTAACACTGTCCCGATTCTGAATGCCCAGGTTTTATATAAAGAGGATCCCTCGCCAGGAACAGCGATTGGAAAGACCCCTGAGATGATGAGAGTGAAGCAAACACAGGACCACATTAGCTCGGTAAGGGCGCCGTGGACTCACCTTTGATATTTTCTGCCTCCTTTTGATCATTTACACAGATGTCTGAGCTGCACTCAAAACCCTTGTCGCCAGGAGCTTAAGTTGCTCAAATCAGTTAGAGTCGCCTCATAGTCAGTGCAGCCCCGGGCGGTTTTGGTGAGCGGAGGTTAGATATGGAAAATGGAGAAGCCCGTCAGAGCAAACCAGGGCTGGACAGTAACATGGTAAAAAAACAGATTTTATTCAGGACCACTGCACTGTAGGGGAAAGAGATCTCGGTATAGAACTGGACTCTATTTCAAATATAACAAGAAAACGTGAGAATTTATAGCTGGACGCTGGGTGGGCAGGGAGAGGATCAGTGGGTGGAAAATTACTCAGAGAAAACATCTGGGCCCCAGATTCTGGGGTCAGAAGGCTTGTGGCTAACTAAACCCACTCACCACGCCCTTGCTGGAGGCGGGCGGGGTGATCAGGCTGCCCCTGTGGGATGGTGGGGCGAGGAATTTGGTCAGATATCCAGGGGGATCAGATAGCCAGGGTGGGAGATGCTAATTTTAGCAGGGTTTTTGTAAAAGTGGACGATGCAAAGATGGAGGCTGAAGTCTAACAGTCAAGGTCTAGTTAGGAAGAAGACTGAGAGGAGTCTGACCAAAGTTTGGTTAAGGACAGACTCTGTCACTTGTCAGAAAACAAAATAAGTTAGAGTCAAAGATTTAACCCGGAGCCCCACCCCTACCCCACCCCCTAAATGAGACAGGAGAGCGGCCAAGTGTCCTTGCCCTTAGCTTTGTTCTCCTCTGACCCAGTTCAGAATGTGGCCCCATTCGAGCTAAGTGGAGAACTCCTGCTATTTACTTGTGATTTTAAAAATTGCGGGACTGCTAACCACACCTCACATGCCCCCACCCCTTTCATATCTGCAGGTGAAGTACAAGGAAGCAATTGGACAAGGAACCCCGATCTCTGACCTGCCGGAAGTGAAACGTGTCAAGGAGACGCAGAAGCACATTAGCTCGGTAGTGGCCCATATGCTTACTCCGCATGGGTTTGTGCAACCAGCCCCATCCCGATCGCTCCCTACCTCCATCTCACCCCTCCTCCCTTCTCTCAAGGGCTTCCCATGCCTTGGGGATGGTGTGAACTCTCCCTCGGTGGTGAGAGGAGCACTGCAATTTGTAAGAGTAGATAAGAAACCTCTGTCTTCACATGGTCAGCGAGCAGGAGGGACTTGGCTTCTTGATGAATCATCACACCTGCAATTTCTAAAGTGAATGTGCCAACAGTAGCACTATGGTTATTGGACGATCTCAAGTTAGTTAACCAAAAGCATATACATATAAACATAGAAATAACATACATATATATGTGTGTATGCATGTGTGTCTATATCAGGACATTCTCCACTGTCCAGAGGACCCAAGGTAGACTTTGAAGTCTCTGCAGCTTTCTCCCCTCCTTTCAAGATTTCTTGCCCTGTGTCCTCTGCTCTCTCCTTGTAAATGCAGAGTGTGTTTAAGGGGCTAGCTGTCATCTTCCCACAGGGTATATTATATGTTAAGCCTTCTCTCTACCAGGAATTTCAGGTGCACATACATTCCTACACTTTCTCATCCATAAGCAGATTCCAAACAATTGCTGGCTACTAGCAAGAGACTGTGTGAAGTTTGGGAAATAGTTTATGGCCAATAAAAGGTGTAGAGATTCTTCTGGGGCCTGGAGCGCTGACCTCTCATTTAGTTGCCATTAGAAGACACTTGATCTTTCTCTTGCATGGCGTTCATATTATTTAGATGTCATTCCCTTTCACTCCCTGCCTACACTCTGGCTTCCTGATGGTTCCAGCTTCACTTAGAGTTTTGTGTCCACTCATCCAAGAACACTAGCCCATAGTTTCTTTGTCACTTTTCATGCAAATTCCTGCCTTTCTCTGGTTTTATTTTGTTCTGCTGTCCATGGTCAGTTATACTGCCTTGCTGGGTAAAGAAACAAAATGCTGTACCAACATGGTGGACTTTTAAGATCCCTGAAAGTTTCCTAGCAAAACAAAGATATCAACACCAGTTGGTCAGTGATTTTAGGAACTCATCCGTGACACAGACCCTTAGATTTTTCATGTTGCTCTCACACCAGGTGCTAGAACATCGTAGCCTCCATCCATTTGAGAAGAGTTCATTCATTCCTTTAGGCTGAAAATTCTTAGCATTCAGAGGAAAGGTGGCTAGAGGTTCAGGATGTTCCTCACTCTTCATGACAGTGTCCAGTCCTCTGACATAAACCCTAACAAATAGGGACTTACCTGCTAGCAAAACACCAGTTTACGTGATTCGACAATCACCTTTTTTCAGGAAGGTGCTCTTCCTGAAAAAATAAATGCCTTCAGTCTCCTCACATTAAAGGTACCTACAGACTAGGGGCCAGCTAGGAGTGAACAGTAGAAAATGCAAAACAAACAGAAAATTCTCAGTGACCCTGAAGGATTACAGTATCGTGCAATTAGAAATTTGTAAACCAAGCAACCTATTTATTAAGTAAAATAGATTTTTTGTGGACCTGCTATATGAAAGGTACTAATACAAGATGTTACAAAATGGAGAGATTTTTCTCATTGCTGAAAGTATGGCTACTATTTAGTGCATTTTAGGAATCTATTAAGTGTTGACTATGCAAAATGTGCAATGAAGTGCACAGTTTTTAAAGTAGTAAAATTACTACTTTTGAAGATAGAATGTAAATACTTGTGGAATTTCTTCCCCTTATTCCTTGGGTGTCATATTTGAAAGCAAGACTGTTTTATACCTTTCCACCAAATAGCACACGTGTAGCTGTAATACAAAGGATTCACGGTCATTTTACCTTTCTGGGTATTCTAATTATCTCCTACAGGTTATGTACAAAGAAAACTTGGGAACAGGCATTCCAACCTCTGTCACTCCAGAGATTGAGAGAGTCAAACGCAATCAAGAGAACTTTAGCTCGGTATTTATAAATATATCAATAAGAAACTCTATTTCCCATTTAAAAAAATTACCAGAATAACCCATCATCCTCTTTTAAAAGAGTAACATCTTAACAACGGTTCTGTGTGTATTTGTGTCTGTGTGTGTGCGTGTGTGTATTATTACCTGACCCAAACCATCGGGACTCACACAAAGTGACTCCCTTTTCTGATGGTACTTTAACCACTGACAAGTGTGAGTACTTAGATGTGAAATTCTGTAAGTAAAATTAACACACAATTCCTCATTATACTCATATCTTAAACTCAGTGCTTTCCATTGTACTTCTTTATTCTGAGAATTAGCATTGTAGAAATCATTAAAATGGTGAAGTAAAAGCACTATCCTACTAAATATTATTCACTAAAATACTCCCCCCTCCCATAATCCTGTTTTAAATTTCTCCCTTCCTTAATCCTTATGCTTGTTTTGAATGTCTTCTGGGTACTTTTTTGTATCTCACAGGTTTTGTACAAAGAAAATTTGGGGACAGGAACCCCAACACCTATCACTCCAGAGATGGAGAGAGTCAAACGCAATCAAGAGAACGTTAGCTCGGTATTTCTTAGGGGACAAAAATAAAATCCCTTAACTCTTATTTAAAATAATATTTTAACACATTACAAACATCTGATTTTTCTGCCTATAAAATTACTAAATTTATATAAAAATAATGATACCAAATATTCAGTTTTTCATCTAAATCTAATTTAGTATTTACTTTAGTTCTGGTGTGAAATTTTAACTCTTTTCCCTAAAACATAGTATTGATCACTTTCCTTAAACTTCTGTAATACTCAGTACTTCCTTCCTCAGATCCTCCTTGAATAACAATAGGTGTTTCTAACTGGTGTGGCACACGTCAAAAGTAAAATCTAACATCCCTTTAAAAGGTCAATGTTAATTAGAATTTTAGTGGTATTTATTCTGGCTCTGTTTGATGTATATTTTGTGGTTGCAGTTTTTCTTTTAAAAATGTGATTCTTAAACATTTTCATTCAAAAGACAATGCAGCAATTTTTAGTAACTCAGAAATACAAGTTTCTTTGAGTTAGCTGATTTTGTATACCACGCAAGATATAACTGAACTTTCCTTTGGCATAACTTCAGAATCATTGAAAGCTACTATTTATTTAGCTTTTAATATTTATTTTATTCTCCAAATCTATCTATTATCTCTCGTTCCCTAATTTAGAGCTACCAACAGCTCATTATAGATATTAATTTCCATTAACTTGAATGCTATTTGATAAGGTCCAGTCCTCTGTCTTTGAGAGAAGGCCTGTGTAAGGACTCCTGCCTGCATCCTGGCAGCTGTGTCTGTATTACTGCTGCTTAGAGACAGACATTGTGCTGTTTGACTAAATGTCCAAAGGTGGCCTATAGTTCTATTTCTTAAAGTTATTTAGGCCTATTTTACATAATTATGAAAACAAACAAAAGTACTTTTTAGAGACTATTTCAAAGGTTATGTCTACCTAAATGATGGTCCAGGCTGATTTGGTTGTTGCTTTTGTGCACACAGATTTTGTACAAAGAGAATTTGAACAAGGGGACCCCCATACCTGTCACTCCTGAGATGGAGAGAGTCAAACGCAATCAAGAAAACTTTAGCTCGGTATTTGGCAGAAAGCTCCTTTAACTCCATATTTAAAAAATAATAATTAACTTTCTATAAATCCAAACTTATTATGAGTCCCTTTGAAATTCTCAATTTAACAAATTCTCTTTCTAAATCTCATCAACTGAATCCTTCTTTAACCAGCATTTGATTCTAACATTTTATGCTTTTCATACTAGTCCCTTAAAACTTTTAATTGGTTCCTTTCCTTATCTTTTCCCCTGTTATGTTATTACTGGGACTTTTGAAGGTAATTGATGTCCAAAAAACCCCCAAACACTGTCGTTATTATTTACTTGGAAGTCTTTTTATTCAATATGTCTGGATTCGCATCACAAGAAAAGACACAGGATGAGGCCCTGTGTAGAAATAATGGCTCTTGCTTGGAACAGGGGTTACCTTGACATAGGTCCTGTCTGGAGCAGCAGCAGTACCGAGAAAGGAAATGGCTCAGTATTAGGACCCAAAGTAATCTCATTTTGATACTTGTTCTAAACAAGCCATTCCATGAATAGAAATCCAAACCTTCTGATTTGTTTTTAACACACAAATCAGACCATAAGCTTATATTTAATGTTATTTTCTCTTGTATTATTATTATTGCTGAAAACCTCTAGAGTCCTCAAATGGTCTGTGAGACTTCTATAAAAGGATCTTAGATTCAAATCTAAAATCTGAATCAGATCTAATCAAATGTTATTAAGAAAATGTAGCTGAATTTGGCAGGGGGCGGGGGAGTGAGGGGAATGGGAGAAGGTTTGATCCAAAATGCGTTTTTTTTGTGTGTGGTTTTTTAATGTTTTTATTGATTTCAGAGAGGAAGGGAGATAGAGAGAAAGATAGAAACATCTATTATGAGAAAGAATTATTGATCAGTTGCCTCCTGATCAATAATTGGAGGCCGAGCCCACAACCCTGGCATATACCCTGACAGGGAATTGAACTGTGACCTCTTGGTTCATAGGTTGATGCTCAACTACTGAGCCATATGGACGGGGCTCCAAAATGGTTTTTAATTGTTTATTTTCTCAGTGTTTGATTCTTTCACATAATTAGATCAGTAACTTTCTTTGGTCCCATTGTCTTTTTTAAATAATATTTATTAACTTTTACATTATAGTTGACATACAGTATACCTGTATTAGTTTCAGGTATACAATATAGTGATTAGACATTTATATAACTTATAAAGTGATCATTCTTATTAGTCCCAGTGTATTTTTGTTTTGTTTTTGTTTTTCTTTGTTTTTAATTACTATTCACTAACAATCTTTTGATTTCGTTTAAATTTTCAATGTCAACTAATACTACTTTTGGAATGTTACCATCACTGTTTTCCTTGTGGGCATATTATTATTATTCCTTCTTTTGCAAAGGTTTGCATTAATTTTTCAAGATTATTTTCTTCTATATTAGAGTAAGTATATTATTATTTATATCTGTTTAAGATCTTGAGGATCTTATCATACAGGTGCTTTTCTAAGTAACCCTTTGTGTTAATTATTACACAAGTTGCATTTAGGTAGAGTGCCCAGTGGTGCATAGAACCTTTATGACACCATGGAAAATAAGCAGTGCTGTGTATTTATTAAAACCTTGACTTGTAGACTGGACCACCTCCACAACTGGAAGTTACTTATCAAAGACCAATTTCACTGTATTGCATAGGTTTGACCTAGGGTTTTAAATATCTGTTCTTCTGTAAGATATTCTGTATAGGAAAAATAAATATTTGGCAATCTAATTGAAAGATAATCTTCCTATTGTACACTAAGCATTTTAGTGCTCTTATGAAATTAGCGTTTGTATCTTTTTCTTTATTTCTTGATACAGAAAACAAACATTGAATATATGAGTTAGGCTAAATGCTGACTATCGAACACACTGGCACTTGAGCTATGGATCCATGGTGCATGTTGTCCTCCAGATCTGTGCTTGAAAAGACAGGCCAACTTGGGGAAGTTGTCTTTCCCGTCTGATGTCAGTCTCATACTAGGTTCCCTGCAAGGCAGAGAGGGAAGGGCTGTGCTGACTGCTCTTGTTTTCTGGATGCTTTCTTGTGTCATGCAGGTGTTGTATAAAGAGAACCTCGGGAAGGGGATCCCGATTCCCATCACTCCAGAGATGGAGAGAGTCAAACACAATCAAGAAAACTTTAGTTCGGTATTTAAAAGGAAAAAAAAAATTCCCTTAACTATGTTTAAAACATGTTTAAAATATTAATGGCTATATTTTAAAATCTAATCAACTTATCCCAATAAAAACTTTGACACGTCTTATTCGCAACTTAATGCTACCATTTCCTATGAATTCGTTTCCCCATTTTTGGTTAAACATTAATGTACTCATTTGACTTTTTTAAAAAGTGTTCAGTATTACAGTCCAGCTTTTAAAAGCATAACATTCTCAATGTCTAAGCACCACATTCATCCCGCTTTGATCTGAACAGAAGCTTACAAACATCTATCTGCACCAATCAGACTGTGGCCTCATTTCCTATCCTAACCTCTGTCCCTACTGGTATTTGTACAGATTTCTTCAAGGTGTTTTTTTGTGTGTTTGTTTTATGTTGTTGTTGTTTTTTGTTTGTTTGTTTTTGCATTTTGTCATTACTCTCCATTTGCCCTTAAAAGGATTAATTTTTCCCAATATGTTCACCCAAGCTAAAAATTAAATACTTGGACTTCTTTTGAAAGTCAACAAAAGAAGATGTGTGTGTACGAATCTTCATATTTGCAATGTTTATAAAACCCAAATATCCGTATGTGTTTTGTTCATAACATTTCCAAATCAAGAATAACTTCCTTAGTTTTCAGTCTCTTGCCCTTTTAATTTTCTCCCTCCTCTTAACAAGCTGAGAAGGGCTAATCATTCCCTTTGCTCTCCGTCGCTCATCGCTGCAGAGCTTAGTTCAAACAACAGCAATTATAAAACTTTCCTTTCCTATTTCCTAGCGTTCACTGCTCTTTCCTGCATTCCCTCGCTTTAAAGATGTCTCACACAGGTTGGATCTAGAAGCTTGTGGGATTTCTCTTCCTCTAACTCACTTTCTTCCTTTTGCTCCCAGCTGCTCCACACAGGGGCCAAGTGGTTGATTGCTCTTCTTGTTCTGGATGCTTTCTTACCATACAGGTGCTATACAAAGAAAACGTGGGGACAGGAATCCCAATCTCCATCACCCCTGAGATGCAGAGAGTCAAACACAATCAAGAAAACATTAGCTCGGTATTTGGGACAGAAAGGGAAAAGAAGATGCCATTTAACCTCATAATTAAATTGATACTAAACATTTATTATTTTTTGAAACCCACTTCCCTTCCTTTGCTTCTAATATACCTCACTTAGCAAAAGGACATACGTACAACGCTTGCATTTCTATACTACTGTCAACTCGATTTCTTAAATTTCAGTTAATCCTGATTTCTCTGCCACTTGGTATTTTAAAATATACATGTTTTTAAAACCACCTTACCTTTTCGTTTGCTTGGATAACAACAAAACTGAGTTTTAACCATTTTAAATCCCTATGTGATTGTTTAGGGGGTACTATGCTCATAGAAATGAAAAAATAACATGGGTAACTCCGACAGCCTTACCCACTGCGGCTGAGGTCCTTGGCGTCCTAGCGAGTGTTTTCCGATCCCAAGAATGGCTGCCATTAAAGTAGCGTGTGGCGCCTTGTCCGTGTGTAACTCCTGGCTTCTTAGACTATTGTGTAACTTGGTAACAAGGAAGTTGAACTCACCCTTAAAATCTCACAACAAACGAAATGTTCCTTACGGTTGTTTTCTGGATGCTTTCTCATCACACAGGTGTTATACAAAGAAAACATGGGCAAGGGAACCCCTTTACCTGTCACTCCAGAGATGGAGAGAGTCAAACACAATCAAGAAAATATTAGCACGGTACTTTGGCAAGAAGAGAAAAAACTACTACTTAAAAGTGATTTAAAATAATGCACATTAATCCTCCTTTTTAAAGACAGCTTACATTTTGTGAATTTCTTGGTCACCTTTATCCTTTTGCCCTATAGGGCTAACTTAGCCTTAACCCTCTAATAACAAGATTGCTTTAATCCACAATTTAAAATTCTAATATCAGGAAGTAAGGGATTTTCCAATAAAATACTGGTTTGCTCATCTCTCCCCAAACTTACTCTCTATTCACTACCCCCAAGGTCTCTTTGTTTTCTGTATTTGTGAAACTGGGGAGGCGGCATAGTCGAGTTGTGGGGTTTTTGTATGTTCTTGTGCCTAGGACTTTAGGTTCTCATCTACCTTGTCAGATTTAGACAAAGAGACCTTGGGAAATATAATCCCCATCCTCTCCTTCAGAAATAATGACAAATGAATATTCAGTAGTGGTTTTGGCAAATGGTTATTAATTAACTTAAAAAGGCAAGTGTCACTAGAACTGTTTTTTGTTTTACCAATTCTAGTTCTATTTGTCTTTTTCATGACCTTTAACTGCTAACTTAGTAAGCCATTTCCTGTAATCCTGTGCTCCGCAATATTCCGTATGTTGATAAATGACCGGGGTTGGGGTTTGTGTCGGGGTGACTCTAGCTCACGTAATGAAGGACGCTGTGGCCTCCACGTGAGCACAGTCTACAGGCTTCTCCAATAGCCGTGCGCCAGAATCACCTGGAGGGTTTGTTAAACCAGACTGCTGGGTCCTGCCCCCACAGTTTCTTGTCTCTGGTGTGGGGCCAGAAAACGTGCCTTTCTAGCAAGTTCTCAGATGCTGCTGCCCTTGCTGCCCAGGGACCCCACTTTGAGAACCGCCACCTTAACAGAAGTCTTCCTCTAGAGCAGCATTTCCAAAACTACCCATGTCCCCAAGGGGAGGGGAGACATCGAGGTTGAGGATTTGTCAGGATGTGTTACCATGTGTTTAATTGACTTACCATATAGTGACATCATTGCTGAGAAGTTGGATGTTGTAGTAAACTGAAGCAAGAGGCACAACACAATGACAGCAAGGAGAAAGGAGGGGAGAGGGCCTTTGCTTGTTTAAGGACCCACGGTTGTACTGAGGTGTCTGTATGAGTTTAAGTGCTGCAAAAAGGTGGGGTTCCCCACTGCGGAGCAGCCTCACCCTTCCCAGTGGCCTTCCAGCCCCAGCCCCAAGGTGCTGTTTAGATGGCCTGTCAGGTACTGGAATTCACAGACCAGGGCAGGGTGAAGGGGGCGCACGCTGAGGCTGTCATGCTGGCTGCACGGATGTCCGCGTAGGGTTCTACCCTGGAAGCATATTCCTTTCCGTCTAACCTCACTGCCCACATGGTTTGGCACCCTGAGCCTCCTAACGAGTTACCTGTTCTGTTTAAACTTTTGGTGACTGTAATTCTTTTCTTCTTCTTTTTGCCTTTTTGGATCCATTGGACACATGTAGGTCTTGTACAAAGAAAATATGGGGAAAGCCACCCCAACCCCTGTCACTCCAGAGATGCAGAGAGTCAAACGCAATCAAGAGAACATTAGCTCGGTATTGTCTTGAAAAAGTGCTTTTATTTTTGCAAAGTAACCCCTGCCATTTGGCCTGCTCCTAACTCCATCCCAGGTTAAAAGCAAACCACATGCCAGTTTTCTAGAACCTTCTCTAAATGTCATACTACACTTAGAATGGTCATTAACTGGCTTTAAGCTTTCCTCTTGAGAGCTATCCTCACTAATAATAGTAGATTAAACATGGGGTTTTCTCACCCAAATTGCATTATAGTTAATAGCCTGAAGATTGCCGCCTAGTGACTTTCGGGTCCAACTTTGTATCTCACAGGTGTTATACAAAGACAACCTGGGCAAAGCGACCCCGACACCCTTTACTCCTGAGATGGAAAGAGTCAAACGCAATCAAGAAAACTTTAGCTCGGTATTTCAGAGAGGAGAAAAGAAATTGCTACACTTTTTAACCAGCCTGGCAAAGATGGTTATACCACTAATTTATCTCACTGTTTTCCCCAAACTTTTGTTTATCCATTAAAATTCTTCTTTACCTGCTTAAAAACAACAAACCAACCCCTCCCGCCCAAACGTCACCTTGTGCTTCATACAATAACATTTTAATGGCTTTATCCTCCTGAGGTGTTTCTCATCGAGTGTGATATAATTGAGCCATAACACCAGCTAGCTGATGGTTTTCAGAAATGGTTTTCTGCTCTCTGATGTCTGGAACTCTCTTGGCTCCCCTAGGTGTTGTACAAAGAAAACATGAGAAAAGCAACTCCGACACCTGTTACTCCAGAGATGGAGAGAGCTAAGCGCAACCAAGAAAACATTAGCTCGGTATTTTCTAGGATTACAAAAAAAAAAAAAAAAAGGAATGCAACAACTTGGACAATAACATTTTAACTTCATAAAAATGTGCACTTTCTTATTCCACTGAAAATTTACACTAAAATTAACACAACTGTGCTTTTAAATTCCAAATGATCATGCTAAGACATAACAAGTTAATTGCCAACTTTTTCTGCCCCTTTTCCTTTCCTCTGAGGTAGTTTTACGTAACCACCTGTAACAAATTGACTTCCTAACACCTCCAGTCTTCAGCTTTCCTTTCCTTTTAAGGTATCCTAGGAAACAGGTAATACTCTGAAATGGATGCCTTCTCTGGTTTTGATGTTTTGGGTTTTTCGTGTCTGGAGGACTTTGATTTCTGCATTTGCATATGGGTTTATAAAATCTTGACATAAACCTACAAAGAAACCCCCAAGGACTTGTTTTGAAGGAGAGTTCTTTCAAATGTCAGTAGCACATTTAGCACCAAATACCATCTGATACGCTGGTGCTACAGTTCCCAGCAAATTCAAGAGAACACTTCCTTCCCTTTCCCTTCAAAATCATACTGTGCCTCTTCTCCTTTGAAAAAGAAAGTTACATTTTCAAAGTCAAAACAGATCCTCCCGGATGCAAGCCCTGCCCACCCATCCTCACGCTAACCTGCTCCATGTCATCCATGGGTCTTGCTGGGTCCTTTCGGACTCAAGCTTCCCTCCCAGCTCCTTCCACCCCCACCTGTTGGAGAGGGTTTGAGGCTTCAGAGTGAGGACAGTACCATGGACCTGTGCTCATTCGTTTTTTCTCCTCCGGCAGGTTCTGTATTCCGACAGCTTCCGGAAACAAATACAAGGCAAAGCTGCCTATGTGTTGGACACCCCGGAGATGAGACGAGTGAGAGAGACCCAACGCCACATCTCAACAGTGAGTCGGGAGCTCTCTAGGACTGGTGGGCACACGGGGCAAAGGAAATGGTCCACCCTCATGTTTTCACCAAACGAATTCATGACATTCAGGTGAAATATCATGAAGACTTTGAGAAGCACAAGGGTTGCTTCACACCGGTGGTGACAGACCCTATCACTGAACGAGTGAAGAAGAACACACAGGACTTCAGTGACATTAACTACAGAGGGATTCAGAGAAAAGTGGTGCAAATGGAACAAAAACGGAATGACCAGGACCAGGAGACTATTACAGGTGATGGAGCCACAGTGGGAAATCGACTTGAAGCTAAGGGGGTAGAGGAACAGAAGTGAATTATCTATAGGGGGGCAAAGGATAAAAGACCTCAATTTGTGTTTCATTAGGTGTGAAAGAAAGCCTCTATTATTTCATGACTTGCAAGCCTGCCCTCTCTTTATGCTTTGATCTCCTCTGAGGAGGAGACACGACGAGAGCCTAAGCTAAATCAGTCTTCCTATGATTAAGTTCGTACCTAGCTCTCTAAGTCTTTGAGGGAGTCCAAGAACATCTGCTCTGACCCTTCATCTCGCTTTCAGGTTTACGTGTCTGGCGTACTAATCCTGGCTCAGTTTTTGACTATGACCCAGCAGAAGACAACATTCAATCCCGAAGCTTACACATGATTAACGGTACGTTATGCCACAAAAGGATCACAGCAAAAATGTCACCATTTAGTGGGCTAGAGTCAATGACTTTCTGAAGTTCCTTTCCTCAAGGGTTTTCAGTTACGCGACTTGCCCATTCAGCATAAAAACACCTTGACAAGTGGGCCAAACTCATGTCTAGTCAAGAGTCACTGCCTCGGTGTAAGTCTTTCTGAGAGAAATAATGAAAACAATACATAGGCAAAGAGAAGAGAATGGATTTGATCTTTAGCAACTTTCTGAACTGTCTTATGTCAAAGATTAGTCATTCCATTGAAGAGGTCACACGCATGCCTTTATGCCTTCATGTTAAAAAGTCAAATAACAGGTAGTGCCCGTCCTCAAAGGATACACTCGAGTTTCCTGATGAAGAGAGGTGAGTAAACCACTGGTTACTCCCTGACAGTAGTTTGAAAGGTCTGCACACAGGTCATGGGAACACAGAGAAAAGGCATCTACACTGACTTGGAAGTTAGGGGGGACTTTCTGGAGAGGTGAAGTTGGAGTGTGAGTGTGAATATTACCATGTGTTCATCTTGGTGAGGCAGGAAAATGGGCTGCATGGCGGGAAGGAGCAGTCTCAGGGCCACTCTGGGGAGGCCAGCCTGGCTGTGCCACTTCCCTATCACCTGCCTTTTGGTAATTAAACTGTTCTCTGGAAAGTGAGGATAACACAATATGTCATCAATGCTTTGGGGGTTTCATCCATGGAAAGCTACTTCAGACCGTGCTTGGTAACAAACAAACAAAAAGCAACGGAGATTCAAATACTGCCGGGGATTCCTGCCAACAACGTTTCACCTCTGATCCTCCTCAACATCTCACCTCCCCAGCCCAAGCTCAGCGCCGGAGCCGGGAACAGTCGCGATCAGCCAGTGCTCTGAGCGTCAGTGGCGGCGAGGAGAAGTCTGAGCACTCAGAGGGGGCTGACCACCACCTGTCCACCTACAGCAATGGCGGCATCTTCTTCTCTGCAACCTCAACAGGTACATGGGGCCGGGGAGGGGCGGGGGGGAGGGCTGACTTCGACAGCAGGTTGGCCAGCTCACTGGCAGTTACTATAACAGAAGCTTTGAGTAATAAATAAATAAATAAATCTGGATTCTTTCTCTTTTTTTTAAAAAAAAAATATTTTAATTGACATAGGAACAGAGAGGGAGAGATAGAAACATCAATGATGAGAGAGAATCATTGATTGGCTGCGAGCCTGCAACCTGGGCATGAGACCTTGACCAGAATCAAACCCGGGACCTTTCAGTCTGCAGTCTGATGCTCTATCCACTGAGCCCAACAGGCTAGGGCTGGATTCTTTCTTCTAATGAGAAAAGACTAGAATTGTGGAGGGGGCACATGAGTTAGATGTTTCATTTCTCCTTTCTTGGAAATTATTATTTTTAAATTATGGGGAAAGCCAGCACTGTTTAGCAGCTAAACATAGATTTAATAATCTCTGGCTATATCTTCTTCTTATAAACTATTTCTTCCTTCCTTTCAGCTTACAAACATGCAAAAACCACAGAACTCCCACAACAACGATCATCTTCAGTTGCCACCCAACAGACAACAGTATCTTCTATCCCATCTCACCCATCTACTGCTGGAGTAAGTAAATAAAAAAGAACTTACTCAAATCATTCTTACTTTTTTGATATGTACAAAAATAATGATAGACATTCTGATTTTTTTTGCACTACACTTTCTACTTTATATGATGCTTTTTTTTTTTTTTACAACACATCTTAGGTTAATAGCAGTATCAGAAAACCTTCATTACAAAACTAAAACTAATTATAAAGTATTATTCAATGATTTAAAACAAAACAAAAAAAACCAAAGCAAATGATTAGTTTGGGCTCTTTGGTCCCACCCACTAACTTAAACTAAGATATTTGCTATTTGGTATCATTATTCAAGAATATATATCTATATGCACATCACACATATGAACATGTCATATCTTAGACCTCTCCTGTTAATATATATATTGAAAAGCTAAGTCAAATCATGTTCACAATTCACCAGACTACTTCAAAACTCTCAATTTAAGACCTTGGATCTTATTCATATTAGCACAAACATATAATTATTTAGGATTGAAATGAATATTTGTATGAAGAAAACTATCTACTAAAAGATGTAAATGAAGATCTAAAAAGTATTGAGACCCATTATATTTCAGGAGGGAATCTTGTAAGGATGTCGTATCTCTTAAAATAAATCCATAAATTCAAGGCAATCAAAATCCCAAAAGCATTTTTAAAATGTTGTATGTTAAGCCTAAAATTTATTTGAAAGAGTAAAGATGCAAGAATAACCAAGTGAATTTTGAAAATGACAATAGGAAAGGACTTAACCATGTTAAAGGAAAACAAAGCTATCATAATTAAAGATGGACTTAGCAAGGGGATAGGTTTTTGAAAACGATAAAGTCCAGGGAGGGTGGAGGGTGGAAGGTGGAGGTGGAAGACAGTATAGGGGGAATAAATGGTGATGGGGAAAAAATTTAAAAAAGATAAAGTCCAAAAATGGACCCTAAAATAAAATAATTATAAGTCAGCATACTACTGGTATGCTCCCAAATTCCTAGAGTGAGAGATACCTGCAATATTGTTACGGTTTTTCAAATTCTTCTCCAAACACAAGTTTGACCTCCTCCAAAGGGGGAAAAAAAGTCCACATATGAACAAGTCCACATATTTCACATGGACACATATCCATGTTTAATACATGATTAATGTACTATGAAGTTCATCATTTGAAATGTACAATTCCATTGAATTTTAGTTCATTTACAGAGTTGTTCAACATGACCACAATGCAATTTTAGAACATTTTCATCACCCTAAAACCCTGTATCCATCAGCAGTCACTCCCCATCCTGGGTCTTTCCCTCCATCTTCTATCCAATGTGAGGCATCCACTAATGTACTCTCTGTCATATCTACTTGCCTCTATGTACATATTGACATTTCATATAAATGAAATCACACAATAGTGGTCTTTGTGACTGGCTTCTTTTACTTAATGTTTTGAAGTTCATCCATGTTATATCAGTACTTCATTCCTTTTTATTGCCAAATAATATTCCACTGTATGGAAATACCACTTTTTAAAAAATGCATTCATCTTGGTGGGCATGCATGAGTTGTTTTCATTTTTTTTGGTTGTTATGAATAATGCTGCTGTGAATAAGTGTATACAAGTTATTGGATGGACATACGTTTTTATTGCTCTTGGGTCTACCCCTAGGAGCAGAATTGCTGGATTATATGGGAACTCTGTTTAACATGGGAAGAACACCCATAACTGTTTTCCAAAATGGCTGCACATTTTACATTCCCATCAGCAGTTTAGGAAGGTTCCCATTTCTCCACATCTTCCCCAACACCTGTTACTTTCTGTCTTTTTGCTCATCACCATTTTGGTGTGTGAGAGGTGATATTTCATTCTTATTTTGATTTGCAATTCCCTGGTGACTCGTGATGTTGTGCATCTTTTCATGAGCTTATTGGTTCTATGTATACTTCTTTAGAATTCAGATCCTTTGCCCCCACCTTTTGTGTGTGTGTGGGGGGGGGGGAGGGGAGTATTGAACTATAGTTCTTTAGATATTTTGAATAGTAATCCCTTATCAGATATATGGTTTGCAAATATTTTCTCCTATTTTGTGAGTTGTCTTTTTTACTTCATTGTTGGTGGTTGTACATTCTCTTTTGGGCAACTTAAGTTTATGGAGTAAGTCTTAGGAGACCTTAAAATTGAGAGTTTGGGTTAATTGTTGCAAATCTAACATATTTCACCCCTTTTCTTTCCATCCTCACAAATAGAAAATCTTCCGCGCCATGTACGACTACATGGCTGCTGATGCTGATGAGGTGTCCTTCAAGGATGGAGATGCTATAGTAAATGTTCAAGCTATAGATGAAGGTTGGATGTATGGCACTGTGCAGAGGACCGGCAGGACCGGCATGCTCCCAGCCAACTATGTTGAAGCTATTTAGGCATTTCAAAGCATCATGCCTGCCTACAGGACCTACAAATCCTGCAGTCAGGATTTCAGACTCTCCACTATTGCCAAGTTCTCAAGCCACCCAATGATTTTTCTGTGTCCATATGATTTATGGTTGTACCATCTTTCAATTTGTTCATATATGAACCTAAACAATTCTCCAGTAAAAAAGTTAGCATGACTAATCTGTCCAGTTATTACTGGTTTACTTCCTCATTATCTTCTGGACTTGCACATAAGACAAAGGACAACACGAAATCCGTATGTTCATCATTTTTTAAATTGCCACTATCAAACTTTCTTTTGGGTTTTAAAATCAAGTTTAATTTCAGAATAGACATTTTAAAAGTTTCTGCAATGTTATATTATTGCTGTATCAACCCATTTCTCCATTATGAAAATGTTTAACATTATTTTTTTTCTAAAACGTGAACATATAAACGTTAAAGGGAAAATAGCAGAGATGTCCACCTTTTCTGTGCTTACTGAATGCTGATGCTTTTATTTCTAATCCAGTTCTGAAGTTATAAGCTGTTAGTCAATATAAACTGGTATAAGCTAGCAACTAATAAAATATATAATTCTGCAATAAATGCCACTGATGGAATGAGATTTATGTATTATTTTTCAATCCTCACCCAATGATATTTTCTCTATTGATTTTTAGAGCGAGTGGAAGGGAGAGGGAGAAACGGAGAGAAACACTGATGTGAGAGAGACACATCAATTGGTTGCCTCCCACAAGCCCCTGACAAGGGCCGGGAGCCTGCAACTGAGGTACTTGCACTTGACTGGAATCGAACCCAGGGCCCTTCAGTCCACAGGCCAACGCTCTATTCACGAGCAAAACCGGCTAGGGCAGCATTATTTATCTTTAATAGTTTTATGATGATCTACAAATAAACATTTCAATAAAACAAACATTTCACTAAAAAAATTAAACTTAAAAAATGTACTGTTAAAAATGCACAAGCATAGATTTTTATCAAACCTCTATCCATACTTGTGTTCCACAAGCTTCCTTTATAGCTCAGCTTATAAAGTTTTAGAAACAGTGTTGGATCCAATCCTAACCTTGAGGATCTTTTTCTTCTGAATCCAGTGGGCTGGCTTTAGGCGACAAAGGCATTAAATGGGCAAAAGGTGGAGTGCCAGCCAATGATGGCTTAATGCTCAAGTTAGCAGAGTATCCTTTCTTAAAAAGAAAAGATCTGTCCATATTACTTTAGAGCTGTAGTAATATTGCTGCCCTCATGAGGCAGAATCCAGTAGGTCCTCGGGTTACATTGGAGTGCGGTTCCTATGGTGCCACATAAAGCGATTTTCGCCATAAGTCGGAACCCACCTACATAAGCACCTATGTCACTCACATGGAGCACATACACAGCAC